TGTTTAGGACAAGGACTGATAATAAAATCACCAATACTGCCAACCGACACAGCGGATTCGTTAATTGCAGCGCAACCTGGCATTCGTACCGGTGTCTTCGAACGCCATGTCGAATTGTCGCCGCTAACCCAAACCAACCAACTGTCATCACCATCAAAACTTGTCAACTCTACAGCTTCCGCTACTCCACCTCCATTAATTGGCTACTCTGACTGGAAAGTCCTGAAAAATTTGAGCTATTCGATAAAACACCCCATAATGCTAGTGGTTGCACAAGAGGACGAAGGAACTTCTGCTGCTGCATTATCTTCCGGAGCCTTACACGAAGTACCACTGCAGACTTCGATATCAGTGACTAATGAAAGTGAAAACAAAATGAACGCTTCAAATAATAACAGTAGCAGAAATGCAAAAAGTGTACTTACGAAGAATTTAACTTTGCCGATGATTTTAAAGTCTACTGCTTCTGGAGCTGGCCAGATTAATAGGGACGTGGCTTCTCAGTTTCAAGCTGTCACTCGTGCTGCAGCAACACTGAGTTCTAATTCAAACAGTACAATGAAAGAGGTGGCTTCAAAATTGACCAGCAGCAAGGCGAGCACTGCACAACAAGCATTCAATGATTTTGTTCAGAAAGTTGCACCGTTAATTTTGCCTGCAGTGGCTAGTATCTTGAAGTCAACGGACGCACAGTCACAACTGCAAAAAAGTATCGATGAAAATGCGAATTACATTGGGTCACCACAACGAATCGCATTTGTGCGAATGAAGCCTGAACGTGGAGTTGGAATTAACAGAGTGGATACTTCGTCCACAACAGCGCGAACTTGGATTAGAGCACTAAAAATTGAAAAAATGCAAAAGAATGAATATGGAATATCAAGGAAAATGCATTCTAACATCGATATTAAACCGGGAAGCTCTGAGGAGAATAAACTTGAGCACCGGCGAGGTGCAGAAAGCGCTGAACAACATTTGCAAGTGAATGAGAGAGCTGAAATTCGTGGAGTGTTTGCGCATAAAGTAAGTGGAGGCGACAGTAGTGGTCATCATGATAATGATAATGTTGATGGTAACGATGACGATGGAGACACTAAAATGGCCGATGCATCTGCACTAGTAAATGCTCAGGATTTAAAACTGAAAAGCATTTATAGCAAGCTTTTTGGATAGCACATGCAAATGTCGATCACTGTGAATAGTTACAACAGCCTAATTTCCTTTGTCATAATAAAATTTTTTGACGTTACATGGAAATGTCTTTTACATCCAGAGCTTCAGAAAAGAGGGCAGAAGACAAGAAAGCGCTCAATTTCATTACATATCACCTATAACAATGCACAAAGGGAAAAAAATCAACTAAAGACCCAGCAAAAATCATTCGTTCCATCAGCGTTCCCACGTTTTCAGTAGCTAAGCTTGCTGATAGTGCATTTGTCAGAAACATGTTACCAATTCGCTCATTAAATATTTTTTGTGAAGGTAGTAAAGAGTTGTTGCGTATCTGGTAGTCTTCTTCAAAACTGAGCCGAAAGACAGAACTCAAAGCAGAAAGTCGATTCAGTGCTAACCTAGGTACATTCCCATATTAATTTAAAGGACACATCTCAAAATTTCATCTCCACAGCTTATGACTTCTAAGCCTCATTGTAGTTGCCTTTATTCGAACCAAAAAAGAAGCGTAAAAATGTGCCACCATTCGTAAGCCCTCAAACCTACAAATTTGACTAGAATTACAGTTGAAAAATAGATTAGGCAAAGGCATGGTACAGGCAAATAACTTTCGGGTGTCCTTTTTTTGCATAGCGCTCCGTAGTAGTTCAGTGGCTTTAGAATCCAGTACAATGGACTGCTCTGCAAGAGCGCGTCATCAACAAACCACTTTCTTTACTTCCTAATACACGCAAAAAAAAAA